GGCAGGTAGCTCCATGCCCTCCTGGGTTTTAAATGCACCTTAGAACACACATGCATCAACACTACAATGAGCGGGTGGAGGGAGGTTTGGAGTCTTCTCTCACCCCCATTCTCTGCGGCCTGCTGGAGCGGGGGGGCTAGGAGGAGGAGTTGGCCGTCCGACTGCGGTCTGGAGTGTGGGGCCTCCCTGCTGCTGCGGAGTCGGGGCGGTCTGCCTCCCCCCACCGCAGGGAAAAGGGAAACACCACCTGGGTCTGGGTGCAGTTCCCCCCTCCAGGGGCAAGGGCACCTAGACCCGGTTTGTAGAGTACGCTTGGGGAGTGTGATCGTGTGTACAACGTCTCTTTATGTCTGTCTCCACGTTGGTTGAGTGTGGAGTAAGTGCATATGAGAGCATGAGGGTGGGAATGGATGTTTGTATCTGTGTGTGCCTGTATGTCTGTGTCTATATGTCAGGTTGGGTGTCAGGCGCCACCTCTCTGGGGACATCTCAGGCCCTCCAAGGTTTGGAGGCCTATCTCCCCCTACCACCACTTCCCCTGCCAGTGGCGGACTCCCTCAGACATCGGTGCGTTGGTGGTTCTTTGTGTCCGGGGATGGGCGTCCAGGTACACACCGGCTCACTCCTTGGCGGCCGCTTATCGGGGCCTGGAGCCTGGGGCTCGCTCGGGCCACTTCGGAGGTGGGGTGCCCCCGGCCTCTCGGCCTGGGGCTCGGTCACTCAGGCACGGCTGGCTGCCGGCGGAGCTCACGGGCGCGTCACTGCAACTCCCCCTGGCTTCTGCTCCGCGGCTGCTGAGTGAGCCCTCATCTGGGACTCTCCTCAGCTCTTTCTGGGACAGTGGCGCGGCTGCCCCTCTGTTGGTCTTCCTTGGTCTCTTGTGTTCTGGGGGCCTCTGGATGTCTGGAGTTTTGATCTCCTCCATACCTGCTTCATACCCTGGAGGACGGGGCTGTGGCCCCCCCACACCCTCTAGCAGATCATTACATGAAGGAACCTTTTAAAAAACAAAAAACAAGCGCGTCCATGCTCACAGGTGTACACACGGGTGATCACACCCACAAACTACACCCTTTTTGGCTCCTACCTCAAAGCACACTGTGTTCTGTTGATCTTATGTGCTGCACAATAATGTTTAATATTTAGTATTTACTGTCATATTCCCATATATCATTGTGATGTTGTTTATTCTATTACTCTTGTTCTCTTCTGCTTGCTTTCTTTTTTCTTTCTCAGCAGGTGATCCAGGTGATTGATATATGCATTTTTTTTCTCTGCCCGTTCTGTTGGTTTTTGTCTTTTGCCCTTCTCCCCCGTCCCTCTTCTCAGCTGTTTCTCTTTCCCTCTTTCTTTCTCCCCTTCTTTCCCCCAGTCAAGTCTGTCCCGTATTCAGTAAGTGAAAATAAAATAAACAATAAAAGGTGAATCAAATGGACCATTACGGCAAGGCTGGGATGGTCAGTTTGGTAAAGTAAATCCGTTGGGTATCTTTCTTTGCCTTTAGACAACAATTCTGATGGCAAAAGAGCCAAACGGGACAGGCCAAAAAAAAAAAAAAGAATTCTGATTGGTTGTCAAGTTCACAGAGAAAAAAAATTCAAAGATCAGAAAATACAATTTGAAAAGCACTGACAGTGGCTGCAGTGATCAGTCTTCATTGTTATTAATGCTCAGTTTCAATTCAGCTCTTTGAATGTTATAATTCTGCTGGGTGACAGACCAACAACAACAAGACTACCCACTGATTGGTTGTAACACCAACTTTGTACACTGTCTCTATCTGACAACAGAGCTCTCTGCATTTAGACGGGCCAATTCCAGATGACCAGCAGACTGAGAATATGCTACTCCTGCTGGACCATCAGTTCCTCTTCTGCTCCTTTGTGGAAACACCAAGGTATTCCAAGCCAATCAATAGACATAATCTTTCAACAATGTCCTGGGTCTCCCCCCATTAGGGTATACACAATTTTATTACCTAGGAGGTGTCAAGGAGTTATCGTATGCAGATGGCCAACCCACCTCAATTGGTTCCTTTCACCATTTCGCAGCAGATAGAAATTATTTTCACAGAATTGGTGACAAATGACAGCGCTGGCAGAGTCCAACACCCACCAGCAACAGATCTGACAAACGAGCAGCTCTTCTCCTGGTCCACTAAACACATGTAGACTGCCTGGGCAAACTCAGATATCCTTGAGAGGATAAAGAGCTGGTATGTTGTTCCATCACCAGGATGGAAAACTCTGAGTATCCGAGGCTCAACTAACAGACTCGCTCTCCTCTTCAATAGCTTAACCTCCAGACCTCCTCGCTGTTGAAAAGATATCTCAACCACAACAGCCCCACAGCAGATCCTCAAACAGATCTCGTCCAACCCAGGAGCCCGCAACCTCACCGACCACTGATGTTGTCGTCTCCTTTGTCCCCAGAATGTGCTTCCGTTAAGAAGGCACACCAGTGGATTCTCAAAGTACTTAAACCTTCATTCTCGGGATTCAACAGCACCTCCCTGCTGTACACGTGTGAGCAGAGCATTGGTTCCCCTTCCAGAGTCACATGTCAGTTTGTCAGAATTGCTCCAAGGCCGTTTTCTGCAAGTTAACTAAGCTTGATATGACTCCTTCCACAGATTTATGACTCCATTTAGCTTGGGTGTCCACAATTTAGGTCAAGAGTTACAGCTACAGCTGGCACTGACCACCTTACTGCAAGGACCGCAGGATAGATGGGGTGTATGTAGCCTAAACTGGGAAACTTGGCCTGTCTTACTTTTCAGCCAAACTGCCAAAACAAAAAATGTTACTCTGTACTTTCATCATACCAAACATAAAAACCCCAAACAAACATGGGCAAAATTTAATTAGATCAATCGCAATCAGTGACAATGAAGAGATTTATTTTGCTGTTGTCTTACCAGATGCAGTAAAAACACAGAAAATGAAACAGATAAAGAAACACCGCAGACTGTAACAGGTCTGCCTCACAGGAGCTTGGCCTCCTCATCAGTTGTTTCCTAATATTCCCTGTCATGAATATGATGGTGTGGGGCTGAACATTCCAGTTTTATCTAACTGCAAATCTTATCCTTTTCATGCTGGCTTCATAATAGCACTCGATGGTCACCAGGCACATGCTGATTTTGAACACTATCACCTTGAGCAAGAAACTGTACTGGCAAATGTACCGGCAAATGCATCTGATGTCAGTTTATGACAGAAATCATCACAGACACATTCAATTTATTAGTTCATCGAGCTTTACCTATTCTTGTCATAACTGGTAAATTGTTTTCTGCGTGTGGGTGTACCCCTTCAGACTCCTTCAGATAGGACTACGACTCTGTTAGAAGATTAAATTTTAATGTCTTCTGGGGGAAACTTCAGCTTTATAAGAGAAATGGGATTGAACTAGAAAAAAGTATGCTAGTATGAAGATGAACATGAATATAAAATTTATTAAAAAGCTGTTTCAGCTCACTAGAAATTCATTGTGTGGCTAGCAGTTGGAAATGTCATCAGCTCGTCTTCCTCCCGTTCCACTGGCGCCTTCAGGTTGCGCAGCTGAGCTAGCTGTGCCACCAGTTACCACCGGCTGTCTCTACCATGTTTTGCAGCTGCAGTGCAGTGGCCTTGAGTAATTTGTAATTGTTACATTATGTTAAAGCACCTGAAACTCAAGATGAGCACGCTCCAGTGCCCACTCTTGCCCGCTGTCTCTTTGTTGTCACATCAGAAGTTTTGTCTGAGGTAACTCCACTGCCTCACCCTGAAAGATGACAGGTGTTACGAGCATCCTTCTGTTGGCATTTAGCTTTGAGTGGCAGGATAATAACACAGCAGAACCAAGAAGTATAGACAAAAATAGCTCCAGGGTGCACATTTAAAAAAATAAAATAAATAAAAGATGCAGGCTGCATCTATTTTACATGTATATTTTGGTTAAAAAACACTCGGATCAAAGCGGAGTGGACCATTTATAGCACAAATCGGTATGCAGATGAATTGAGCTCAGTACTCCGGAGACGAATCCAAGAAAGTATGCAACAGACTCCTCAGGGACCGCAATAAACCTCCCCTGGGGTATAACGGAAGAGAATATTTGTCATGCACAATGCAAGAGATGTCAGAATTATCATTATTATTAGCAAAAGTGGCAGCAGGGAGAAAGCATGGCCAAAAGCAGCTGATTAGTTTCAATCTAACTGGAGATCAGTGCTTATGAAACAAAAAGAAAACGCCTAAACTTAAGACCAGAGAGCACAAATATTTGTGTCATAACACATTTTACAGTCAACAAACTGTTATTCCCCTTAAGGGATTTTGCCAAAATTACTGTAGCGGGGGAGAAGTTCTGAGCTTTGTATTTTATTCAATAAAAAAGCAAGTTGTCCCCAAATTATTAATACTTTCCAGGCATAGCAAAATGTTATTCCAGCCACTCTGTGTTTTCACATACAGAGCTGCATAATAAAGAGTATAACAGCTCTTTGAGAAGTCTGCAGCTGCTGATGGACTGCATTGTTCATGCACTATGACATGAACAAAAGCCATAATTTTATGTAACTATTTGATCTTTTATTTATTTAAAAAACTCAAGTGTAAGAATGACATATTAGATTTGTCTTTTTTGAAGTTACAAACCCCTTTTTCTGTTCTCTTACAAAACAATTAAGACTTCCCTTCTCTTCAAAGAAAAAAGGAATAGCTCTCCGTCTTTCCTGCATTAGAACAATCGGTACCTTAATATTTTGTTCTCTGCTGATCTTATATGCAGAGCACAGATCTCTTGATGTGTGTGTTGATGAACATTGTGGTATTTCTAAATTAAATATCAATGATGTGTCAATAATACACATAGTAGGATAATATTATAAATATACCTGTGAAGTCTTGTGTTGGCTACGGAAAAACACAGAATTCTAGATGAATCTGACGATAGCCTTAAAAAAATTACTTATTAATTAAAATAAATCTGTAGATATTGTGATATTATTATTATTGGAAATTGTTCTGTCAGCCCGGATCAATAGGCTGCATGGATGATTATATAAAAGTTTGCTTATTCATCCCAGAAACTGTTCCTATGCCGGGATTTGGATTTTATTCAGTTTCATTCAATTCAGTTTTATTTACAGAGCGCCAAATCACAACAACAGATGCCTCAAGGCACTTTTTCTTATAAGGTGAAAACTCAGTAACAACAACAATAACATTCCTTACCACAACACTTCCTTTCATTTAAGGACATTTTTTATTCTGATAAACAAGACATCTGCTCTTTTGCTGCTGCAGCTCATCTGCATCAAGGTTGGATATGCTGTGCATTCAAAGACAATCTTCTGCAGACCTTGGTTGTAACAAGTGGTTATTTGAGTAACTGCTGCCTTCCTATCAGCGCAAAGGAGTCTGGTCTGGACCTCCGGCATCAACAAAAGAACTGCCGCTCACTAGTTATTCACTTCAACGACCTTTCTTCCCCATGCTGGTGCTCAGTTTAGACTTCAACAGGTCATTGAGATCATGCTTGCAGGCCTAGATGCACTAAGTTGCATCCATTTGATTGGCTGATAGACATTTGAGTTACAAGCAGTCCAACAGGTGTACCTAATTAATTGGCAAGTGAATGTATTTCAGCCACACTGAGCTCTTATTACTCCCTAGTACTTTAAACTGTAAACTGATGTTACTTTAATATTTTGGTAATATTTGAATTCAATCGCTATCATTTGCTTGTGTGCAGAAAAATCCTCAGTGAGATTATATGGTCAAATTAGCCGTGTTTTCTTACATTGTGCTGAAAAAGCACAAAGATTGTCAGGTCCACAGGAGATATAAAGTTCTGGAAAAGTGCTGAATTTTAAAAGGGCGCCTGTATGGGAACTCTGCAATTAGACAGCCCCAACCAATTAAAACCTCTACCTGGATCAAGCTGCTGTAAGCTTTAATCTACCAGAGGACTCTATTTAGCAGCAGTCTGACATATGAAGACCGTGAGAAGTCATACGTAATTGTCCGTATTGTTCTCGGTTATCTATCCACTGGGTGGGAGCTGGGTTGGGTAACTGAGGCGTCCGCCCTCCTCCCCTCACTGCTTGCAGAGATAAGAGATGAAAAAACCACAAAACACCACCAGTCACCCTCAGCTTAAGGGAGTCACACTTGCTTACAATGGCTGAGTCAAAGTAGTAAGTACAGCAATAAATTCTGTTTTCCATTAACTGAACATCTAAAGTTTCAGTACTGAGTACAGAGGAATATACGGGAACTTTAGGGCATTAAAAATGTCTTTCAGTGATGAGAAGCTGCCAGATGACAAGAATAGTAGCTTTAAGAAGAGCAAAAAGAAGAAAAAGGGGGACGATGCCTGGAGACCACAGGGGCCAAGAGACCCATTCGCCATGGTTTGTTTTTTTGTGCATGGTTGACTGTGATATTCAATATGTTTTGTTTGTGGACTATGAATATTTGGCTGCTGGAAACATTTCGTTTTCAGTGCATTTGTATTCTAGCTGTAGCTGATTTTTCTTTCTTTTTGACGGTCAAACTTTTACTTTCTTAGGTGGGATATTTGCACAATGACCTGTCCTTTCAATGTCCTGTTCTGTACTAGCTGGATGCTTTGCCAGAGAACAAGCAGCAGGAGATCCAGAGAGCCCTTCACCTCTTCTCCTTGGAGCCAGGTCTGCCAAAGACCCTGCAGCAGGCCAAAAAACACACCTACTGCTTTTGGGACACGCAACCTGTCCCTAAACTGGGTAATCCGTCTTTTAGAAAAAGTCTACCTAAGAAAGCACCAATAAAAACACTAAACTTTTTCTTTCGTCTGTCTGCTATAATTCTGGCGGCTGTGGGTTAGCTTAGCTTAGCACAAATAGAAAATTTAAACAAGCTTGTCCAAGTGTCCAAAGATAGCAAAATCTTTATAAACTTTGATTTTAGCAGACTAGACAAACAAGGCATTATAAGAAAGGTGGTTTAATAGTCAAGGTAATTATGGAGCTTTAGCTATCCCAATATGATTAGGTTACTTATTTCTGTGTCCAGTTTCTATGCTAATCTGTAAGATAACTGGCTATATACAATTAAGGACTTAGTGGAGTCAGAGTCTTGTTCACCAACAGGAAACTCCCGTGGTTGCAAAAATAACTCCAGTTACAAAGGAGTCAATAGGAAAAAAATAATTCCATGTACATGAAAGTATAGTGACTGTCTTCTGTTGAGTTCACAGTCACACTTGTAGTTTCAATCCTTACTGAATAGAGTGAAATGTTGATTTTTCAAATTATGGCCCATAGCTGAGTCAAAAACAGAGCTATAAGTAAATGAAATTGGCTATATAGAAGGAAGCCTTGCTAATGGTTTCTAGCCCAGCACAGTAAACTGTGCAGTGGTTGTGACATCTGATTGTAATACTGGTTTAATTCCTTTCGGTTTGTTTCAAATTAACATATAAAATGTGTATGTTTGAATGACCACCAAACCCATCTTAAAACAGCCAAAGACTTATTTACTCGTCCAATCTGGCTACACTTTCATTCACTCACACTCACTACAGCATTAGTGTGCAGTGTCCTTGGGGTTTTCAGTAAGTTCCACCCCTCACTCATGAGGTCTGGATTTGAAACAAAGATGGAGGGGGGGGGGGGGGGGGGGGCCAAGTCTATCTTTTACATACAGCGTGGACTGGCTGCTTACTAAAGTCTGTATACAGAGAAAGAAGTAGTTTTGGACTGTATTGGTGCATTCTTACATTTTACAGCGAAACGTATCACAGCTACACATGTGGATTGTTAGTCGGCAAGATACAGACCTCTTCTGGAAAACAGTGTTTTTTCTTTTCTTCCACTGTTTCTGGCATCTGTATGATACTGGCATTCTCATTATGTGTTGTGTGGTGTAGTATATATATATATATATAATATATATATAATATATATATATATATATATAATATATATATATATATATATAATATATATATTATATATATAAGAATATATATATATATATATATGAATGAAACGACAACAAATTTAAAAAAAAAAAATACATATATATATATATATATATATATATATATATATATATATATATATATAGCTGGATAGCGTAGTGGTTAGACTACACGCCTTTGGAGCAGAGGATCGCAAGTTCGATTCCTGCCTGGGGCGTCTGTATCCAGTAAGGGTCCTAAGGCTAGACCCCCTATGCTAAGCGAGCCTACCGCAGACATGAGCGAGACAGATAAATATGAAGGCATGCCGGCTCGGACGTCGCCCGGATCAACAAGGTCCGCGTCAGGTGTTGAGGAACCAGGGCACCCTGACGAAAAGTGGGCTACTGGAACAAGAAGGCATCGGTGGGCAAGAGACGAAAACAGGGCGTTGTTGGAATGCTACTACGCAAGTAACCCCGGCGGAAGGGGCTACATGAATAGGATGACGGACCTATGGATTCTTCGATACCCAACATCCACAATGACGGCGAAACAACTAGTAGCTCAGTGTTCCAACATTCGAAAGAAGGGACTGCTCTCACAGCTAGAGATTGACGAGGTACAACACAAATGCTACGGCAAGGAGGAGTCAGGACGCCAGGTCAGGGGGGAGATATCATCACCCCCACCCGAGATTGGGTACATAGCCCCAAGTGCGATAGGAGAAGGATCGTTGAGTGCGAGAGGAACTGACCTGAAAAATAGGATAATGGCCAAGCTTGAAACCTGGATCCCCCGTAGCCGGTTACCAAGATTACGTGAAGTACCCTCAGAAGGTCTGCTAGATGATGTTAATGCAGCACTACGGGCAATACCTACAACCACGATTACCGACACTAACAAGCTGATCTACAATACGGCAGCAGTGATCAGTGAGATGCTTGGCTACAAGTTGAACAGCCACAAGGGGCAGTACCCTCCATGGAGAAGGAGGCTAGAGGGCAAGATCAAAGTAGCACGGAGGGAGGTTAGCCAACTAACGGAGTTGCAGAAAGGTGCGACAAAGAAGGTGCCTAAGAAATACAGCAAGCTGTCCATACCTGAGGCCTTGGAAACTGCCAAGCAAAGACTCACAGCCTTGGCCAGCCGCTTGAGGAGGTACACCAGAGAGATAGAAGGCAGGAGAATAAACCAGCTGTTCTCCACAGAACCAGCAAAGGTGTACTCTCAGTGGCAAGGGAACAATAATAAGAGAACAGCACCACCAAGGCTGGAGACGGAGCAATACTGGAAGAGCATATGGGAGAAGGACGCAACCCATAACGGCAATGCTCAGTGGCTAGTGGATCTGAGGGCAGACCACAGCGACCTCCCTGAACAGGGTCCAGTAACCATCACAGTGGCAGATATCCAAGAAAGGGTCTCCAGTATGAAGAGTTGGACAGCACCAGGGCCCGACATGGTTCACGCCTACTGGCTAAAGAAGCTGACTGCACTCCACGAGCGTCTGGCAGCACAAATGAACCAGCTGCTAGTTAACGAGAGACACCCGGAATGGCTAACCGAAGGTCGGACGGTCCTGATCCCCAAGGACCCCAAGAAGGGACCGGTCCCCTCCAACTACCGACCAATAACCTGCCTCAGTACTACATGGAAGCTCCTGTCAGGCATCATATCGGCTAAGATGAACAGGCACATGGGTCAATACATGAGCGGGACACAGAAAGGAATTGGCAAGAATACCAGAGGCGCAAAACACCAGCTACTGGTAGACAGAACAGTCAGCCGAGACTGCAAGACCAGACTGACCAACCTGTGCACTGCCTGGATTGATTACAAGAAGGCCTATGACTCAATGCCCCACAGCTGGATACTGGAATGCCTAGAATTGTACAAGATCAATGGGACCCTAAGAGCCTTCATCAGGAACTCAATGGGGATGTGGCGTACAACACTAGAGGCCAACTCCAAGCCCATAGCACAAGTCACCATCAAGTGCGGGATCTACCAAGGAGATGCTCTGTCCCCACTGCTGTTCTGCATAGGCCTGAACCCCCTCAGTGAGATCATTAACAAGACTGGCTACGGATACCGACTACGGAACGGAGCAGTTGTCAGCCACCTCCTGTACATGGATGACATCAAGCTGTATGCCAAGAGTGAACGAGACATCGATTCACTGATCCACACTACCAGGCTATACAGCAATGACATTGGAATGTCGTTCGGACTGGAGAAGTGTAGTCGGATGGTAACAAAGAGAGGGAAGGTAGTCAGAACTGAGGGGATTGAACTACCAGAAGGCAACATTGCAGACATAGAGGACAGTTACAAGTACCTGGGGATCCCGCAGGCAAATGGGAACCATGAAGAGGCCGCTAGAAAAGCTGCAACCACCAAGTACCTGCAGAGGGTCAGGCAAGTCCTGAGGAGTCAGCTGAATGGTAAGAACAAGATCCGGGCCATCAACACGTACGCCCTGCCCGTGATCAGGTACCCTGCTGGGGTAATAGGCTGGCCAAAGGAGGAGATAGAAGCCACTGACATAAAGACAAGAAAGCTCCTTACCATGCATGGAGGGTTTCACCCCAAGTCCAGCACCCTGAGGCTGTACGCTAAGCGGAAGGAAGGGGGCCGGGGACTGGTGAGTGTCAGCACCACAGTCCAGGATGAGACAACGAACATCCAAGAATACATTGGGAAGATGGCCCCAACTGACCGAGTGCTCAGTGAATACCTCAGGCAGCAGAAACCCAAGAAAGAGGAGGGAGACGAGGAACCATCATGGAAGGACAGGCCCCTGCACGGTATGTACCACCGGCAGATAGAGGAGGTGGCTGATATCCAGAAATCCTACCAGTGGCTGGACAAAGCTGGACTGAAAGACAGCACAGAGGCACTAATCATGGCAGCACAAGAACAAGCTCTGAGTACAAGATCCATAGAGGCTGGGGTCTATCACACCAGGCAAGACCCCAGGTGCAGGCTGTGTAAAGATGCCCCAGAGACAATCCAGCACATAACAGCAGGGTGCAAGATGCTAGCAGGCAAGGCATACATGGAACGCCACAACCAAGTGGCCGGCATAGTGTACAGGAACATCTGTGCCGAGTATAACCTGGAAGTCCCGAGGTCAAAATGGGAGATGCCCCCAAGGGTGGTGGAGAATGACCGAGCTAAGATCCTGTGGGACTTCCAGATACAGACGGACAAAATGGTGGTGGCTAACCAACCGGACATAGTGGTGGTAGACAAACAGAAGAAGACGGCCGTAGTGATCGATGTAGCGGTTCCGAATGACAGCAATATCAGGAAGAAGGAACACGAGAAGCTGGAGAAATACCAAGGGCTCAGAGAAGAGCTCGAGAGGATGTGGAGGGTGAAGGTAACGGTGGTCCCCGTGGTAATCGGAGCACTAGGTGCGGTAACTCCCAAGCTAGGCGAGTGGCTCCAGCAAATCCCGGGAATAACATCGGAGATCTCTGTCCAGAAGAGCGCAGTCCTGGGAACAGCTAAGATACTGCGCAGGACCCTCAAGCTCCCAGGCCTCTGGTAGAGGACCCGAGCTTGAAGGATAAACCGCCCGCAGGGGCGTGCTGGGTGTTTTATATATATATATATATATATATATATATACATATAGAAAATTTTATGCTCAGCTGACCTTCCTTTTGCTTTTACATATGATAAGAAGTCCTGAAACACTGACTTTGTGTTGACCTTTTGAAAATATATTGTAAGTTTATAGTAGATAGTATAAAAAGTGCATTTGTACATCACTCCTTCATTCACTTGTACTGAGAATAGTGTTATCTGAATGTCATTCGATGCAGTCATGTCTATTTCTCTGCCCTCAGGTGACAGCATTACAACTCATGGCCCAATAGTAGAGGGTGAGGCAAGTATCCGGAAGGAGCCCTACTCACTACCTCAGGGCTTCTCCTGGGACACTCTGGACCTGAGCAGCCCTCCAGTGGTAAGTTATTTATTGTAGGTTGTTGTATGCAATAACAGAAAATATATGGCAGTCTTTTGCTAGCATTTCAGAAGTAAAGGACCAACTTCTTAGTGTATGGCTCAGAAAAATCAAATGCTATTTAAAATAAAATGAATCCAATTCAGCGGTTTTCCATCATTTCAGTTGAGAGAACTATGCAGTCTACTAAATGAGAACTACATGGAAGAAGATGATAACACGACCAGATTTGACTTCTCTCTGGAATATCTGCAGTGGTAAGCTCCGAAAAGATGTAGTGCCTTTTGATGTCTACTTTTTAGCATTAATAGCTTTTAAAACCTTTAAAACTTATCTAATAGAGAAACACACAGACATACACACACATACGGCTCAGGCATACTTCATAGATTTTTACAGATTCACAGCTGGACTCTGCTCTGTGTAATCACAGTGCTTTGCTTTCAGCCTCTGTGTTACACCGAATTAAAACACTAAATGTCTTTAAAGGACATTTTTTCCCCAACCTGACCTAACACATCATATCTTTAACAAGCCTCTGCTTTAATGTCGTCACTGCTGTTTTGGTTTTTTTGTTTGGGTTTTTTTTTGGCAGTGATCTCCATAAAGCAGTACCTTCGGGGCTACTTGCATCAAAATATAATAACATTTACTTTGAAATGAATAATTAGCGCTATCTTTCCAGGAATTGGCACAAGTGTTTGGCCCTGAGGTTGAAAAAACTGCTGCATTCATTTAGCCTCTGAATTCACATCATGCTGAGTTCTTTCTTTTTTTTTCAGGGTGTCGTGAACTATGTCTATATGAAATGAGTGTTGTGCTGCAAACAGCATTATTTGTTTTCTCTTAAGGGCTCTACAGCCTCCTAACTGGGTGGCTCACTGGCACTGCGGTGTGAGAGTAGACGCCAATAGGAAGTTAGTCGGCTTCATCGCTGCTGTTCCTGCAGATGTTCACATTTATGAGATGTGAGTAGCTCATAAATATATGCAAAGATGTGTGTTTGTGTGAAGTCTGATGAGTGATGTCCGCATTCAGAGCACGTAACCGTGGCAATTTCCTCGTGAACATCTCAAAGCTGGGACTCAAAATGTTTCTGCAGGGAGAGGCGGGTGGTACAGGTCAAATTCCTGTGTGTTCATAAGAAGCTCCGCCTCAAGCGAATGACTCCAGTGCTGATCCGAGAGCTCGCCAGACGGGTCAACCAGCAGGGGCTCTGCCAGGCTGTCTACACCACTGGCATAGTACTGCCCACACCAATAAGCTCCTGCAGGTAGTAGCTGCCACACGTAGTTGAGTCACAATTTAAAGGCACGGTGCAAAAGGGAATAAAATCAGCACGTTTTTGTCACGTTGCCATGGATGCCAGACTCTTCCACCTTTATCTACAATAACTAATTATACATTTAGGTGATTGTGTATGCTTCACTTAGGTTACATTTCGTGTTCTATTTATGAAGGAACGTCTCTTTCAAATAAATCCTTTTAGACTTTGGCATCGCCCACTTAATCCTCGTAAGCTGATGGAGGTCAACCACCCAGCACTGAGACAGAGCATGAACCTGCAGAGAGCTCTGAAGTTCAACCGCTTACCTGAGGTTAGTCTGTGCCGCCATCTAGAGACAGAAGTTTACTGCTGCATGTTGCTACTGCAGCACTTCTCGAAAGCATTTCTCCTGTTTTCATTCACTTTGCTCGAATTATTTCCAAGGTGACAAAAGTGCAAGGTCTGCGCCCTATGACCAGAGAAGATATCCCGGGGATACATTCACTACTCCAGACAAACTTCTGCAAGTTTCACCTCAGCCCCATCTTATCCCTGCAAGATGTAGAGCATCTGTTGCTGCCGAGGGAGAATGTGATCGACACCTATGTGGTCGAGGTCTGACCTCACTGTATCTCTACTTTAAATTATATCGAAGAAGAAAAAAAAGTTTTTTCGCTGGGGTTCTTTTTTGGGGGGAATTTAAAATGATATTATGCTGTAGTCATTAAAAATGTATTTGCCTCCTCTCCTCCCACACAGGGTGATAATGGTGCCCTGACAGATATAGTGAGTTTCTATAGCTTCTCCTCGAGAGTGCTGAATCACCCGGTCCACACAAGCCTCAGAGGAGCTCGCCTCCTTTATGTTGTCTCTACTAGAACGAAGCTGGTCGACCTGATGGAGGACACCCTGGTCCTGGCAAAGTCTGTGAGTGTGTCACTGTAAAAACTTAGTTCATATAAAGCATGGGAGCCAGGGATCCTTTACAGAGGCCAAAGTACATCCTCATATTCGTTACCCTAGTCTCTGGTCTCTGGTTGGGTGGTGGCTGGAGCCTATCCCAGCTGTCGTAGGGCAAAAGGTGGAGTAATGCCTAGATAGGTTGCTAGTGTGTTGCAGGGCTAACAATTCACACTCCCATTCACACCTATGACCACTTTATATAACCATTTATCATCTAAAAACTGAATTATGTGCCATTATGTGTCACTCCACTTCATATGCTGTAAGCTATGAAGCTGTGTATAACTGATTTTGTGCATATAATGGTCACGTTATTGTTTTTCATCCCCTCGCTAACAGAAAGGTTGTGACGTCTTCTCTGCCATCGATGTGATGGACAACAAGAGTTTCCTGGAGAAGCTCAAGTTCAGTGTCATTGACCAGAGTGTTCATTACTATTTGTACAACTGGATGTGTCCTAATATGAGCCCAGACAAGGTATTCAGTGCATTAATGTTGCAATCAGTTAAGAGCCATTACTGTCATTTTTTACATTTACATGCAATGGTCCACCACTTTATTGTCTAATCTTGGGTCAAAGCACTGATGAGTTTTGCTTTGGGTCAGATTGTGGGTTCAGTGCATCAACTGTAAAGAAAAGTGGGACAGAAGTCCTCCACGGTGATGTGGAGAAAACCACTACTGCAGGTTATTGCTGCTCAAAGTCGTTCCACATGCTATTTAATCATTGGGTATACATCATTTTTAACAGGACCCAATGGATTCCTGTGCTTGCAAATGCCTTAAATGCACATTTTTTAGACGACTAAGATTTTAGTGAGGACAACGAGAAAATGATGCTACGTCTCACTTGATTTAACACCTTGTTGTATACTTTTTGAATTAGTTCATGGCCTCAAATCAACTTTCAAGACAGGTTTATTATAACATGATGTTTACTTTATAAAGTATAATCCCATTTAGATTAAAATAGATAATAAATGATTCTGGATGTGAATAGTTTGTGTTTGACAAGTTGCTACATTATGAGTTGACAGCGTTACCGTTTTTTCACCCGTTTTGTCTTGTCAGGTATAAAAAGTAAATAAATAAAATGGCAATGTCAGAAACTGCTTAAAAATGTTTGCGAGTCCACCCTGAAAGGTTCAGTGTAGGTGTCTCCTGTCCTTGATAACTGTTGCTCATCAGTAATTCATATAATGGACGTGTGCTTCACAGGTTGGCCTTGTGTTCCCAAACTGACCTGCTACTGGACGAGGGCAGAGTGGCAGAGCGGTGAAGCGAGTGAAAGGACTTTCAGGAGACTGGACGTCAAACTGCATCAGTATCAGCAAAGGGGAATTTGGGGTTTCGGGGGGGAAAACTGAAAAACACATGTTTTCAAAAAATCAAGAAGAGGAATAAAGGCTGAATTAAATTTCCAGATGCATTTCTGATTTTTATGGCAGTTATTCATTGGGTCCAGTTTTTTTAGTAACAGGGACAAATTGTTTTTGACGTAAAGGAGAATTTGTGCTGTTCAGTAGATAGACCCTGCACATCCTAACACCAGTGTGTGTGTGTGTGTGTGTGTGTGTGTGTGTGTGTGTGTGTGTGTGTGTGTGTGTGTGTGTGTGTGTGTGTGTGTGTGTGTGTGTGTGTACGCGCGCGCACTCGCAGAAGGGCATGTCGCTGTATTAGTCTATTAGCCTCTGACTAATAGAGGAAACTCATATAACCTGTGATGGCATGACTCTTGTTAGAGTGCAACCAGCACAAAAACATGATTGGAAGACAAAGGTATTAGAGTCACACTCACACACACACACAGTTGTGTTTTCATATCTTTGTGGGGACATCTAATTAACATAATGATATCCCTAGCCACTTACCCTAACCATAAAAAATGAATGCCTGACCCTAATCCTTACCCTAACCATAACCTATTTGTAACACTGACACTAAAACCACATTTTGAGTCTCAAAAATACTTTCAAACTCATGGGGACGTGGACTTTGGCCCCATAAGGGATGTTGGTCCCGACAAGTACAGTAAATTTCCAATTTTTGGTCCCCACAAAGATATGTAAACACAGTACACACACACGCACGTACACAAACCAGTCTGTCTTCTTATCTGCTCTTGCTATTCCCTTTTAGTTTCCAAGTACACCATGACAGGAATGAAGCCATTCAAGTTAAATCTCAACTAGGCATGATTTGTTCCAGAAGTGTGAAAGTGAAACATTAATGAGCATTTCTGGGGGGGTTTCTCTGTAGGGCTAACAGTCAGCAAAGAAGCCAAAGGAAAATGCTGTAAAGTGAACAATGCTCTCACAATCTATAAATCTGTATCTATCACACAGCAGGAAGTTTAGTTTTTTTCTACATCTTAGACATTCTGGAAATCAAGAGCTGACCGTATTGCTTCAGAATAACCTGTTTGTAACCTGTTTGTTATGTTTGATGAAAAAAAGACAAATTACACATATTAAATTTTTGTTTTACTTTCTCTCCTGAATGCAGTACAGTGTAAAAGCTGTTCATTGTACATAGGTTTTAAGCATTCCCTCATTTTTTAAAATATTTTGTGCCTTTACTTGAGAACTACTGCTCAGGTGGCCTTGAATGAAGAAACTGGATTTTTTGTTCTTGCTTTCTGTTTGTTAAGCCTCGTAACTCCAACCTATGAATCATTTAAGCATGAAGACATACCTAACTCAAGGGACAAACCACAGTTGTGTCTGCACAAAACAACTTAGCAAATACCTTATTTTAAATTGTGTCTTCAGGCACTTTGTTTATAGGAGCCTGTTGCGAAACACATAATTTGTTCCCAGTTCTTTAGTTGAATCTATGAAAAATGCCAATTTTTGCACCAAAAAGGTCAAAGCGCTGTTAGCTGTAAACTTGGCATAAACCAGACAAATGGAGGACAAAGGAAGAAACTGCAGGCCTTATAAACCTACATTTCCTTAAGAAAGAGGGGAAAAATCCAGGAAAGACCTGACACAGGACCTGAGAGATGCATCTGGTTCTGCAGCTGTTCAGTCAACTATTCACTGAAATCTCATTAGAAATGGTCTCAGTGGAAGGGTGGCTGTCAAGAAGCCAGTCTTAAGAAAGAGAAACAGGAAGAAAAAGCTAAGATATGGCACATTACACGATAACAGCACTGAAAATCAGGGGCAAAAGGTCTTACGTGCTCAATCCAAATGAAAAGTTGCCTATGATAGTTCGGTGTGTGGTTAGAATAAAGGTGTTCATTCCAAATTCTGATTTTCAAGCTCTTAAGAGTTTTTAAACTAAGTTCTTGCCTTAGATGCTGTATTACGATGTGTATTTGCACATGTTTTTGCACCTATTTCTCATTTTCCTTGCAAAATATAAAGAAATGAAGGGTTGGCTCATGACTATTTCACAGTGCTGTACCTACAGTGCCTTTCAATGAACACCAGGGTGCGCTGCAAGATATCAAAGCGGGTCTTCGCTTAATGAGCAACCAAAGTGCCAGATATAGAACTCACCTGCTTTGCATTATGTGGTTGCATGTGTAACAAAATCTGTAACATATAAGAAGCAGCGACAGTGACACGCAAAGAGAAAGAGGGGAGAGTGTGTTTTTAAAGGGTTGGGCTTGTATACCCCCCCCCCCACACACACACACACACACACATTTTTTAGTTTATGGATCGATAAATAGTGTTAAAGCTTTCAGTCCCTCACTTTGCCACTGGCTCAATTATTGTTTTTATTTTAATCAGTGCGGTACAATGCGGTGTATCAAGCAGCACAAACAAGAAATGCCCCAATATGGAATACACATAATGTAGTCATGTAAAGCTTTTGGCATTTACTAAATTTTGGCATTTACTAAATTTAACTTCTTGGTATATAATTACTTTTATTTTCTTACTGTACACACACAGACACACACACAGTCATAATTTATACATTACAGCTAGGAAAAGGGGCGTTTACTGGAAAGACGCGAACGCACCGCCGTTTGGTTCTAACCAATCAGAGAAGAGATAGCATTTTAAGTTTGAAGCCACTCGACCTGCTTCCAGTAGCCGCTATCACAGCTTTTTCTCTCTCTGCATACTGACCAGGCAGGACTCCGCCGTGCTGACCCCTCAGTTTCGGTGAAGGGTGGTATGGAGAGCCTATCTGTCTTCTGAAGAAGGCAAGTGCTGACTCATTGCTCACTTTGCTTTCATGCCGTCTGTCGTGGAGGACTCGCTCTTGCCGGTGAAACGCTATCTGACGGCTTGAACTACGTGCTCAGGTTAACGTTAGTGCTGCCCCCAAACTTTCCAAAACAGAGCGAGTGTTTGAACAGCTGTATCACAGAGGGTCTCTTTAATATCTCGACGTGTATGTGGTTGTTTGCTGGCGCGTAAGGAGACCTCCACGGTGGGTCGCAGGTATGTTTACAAGTTAGGGGGTTATTTTTTCCCCCCTTTTTTGTAATGACCGTGTTGTTATGGCGTAACTAACTCCGGTGCTGTCACGCTGGATGTTTGAAGGCATTAGTACAAACTGTGTACTTCCTGTGAACAATTTGAAGCATTTAATGGCTGTTTGAGGAAATGCTCATCTCTGATAGTCGTGCATTTTTGTATATGGAAAAAAATGTTGCGCACAAGGATATGATGCATGCATTGGGTCGAAACACTCATTGTAAATCGGCTGTCATCGCCTTTTTCATATTTAGCTTCGTATTTTACTCAGTGTGAGTAAAATGTTGCTTTTTATAAAACCAGTTTTAATCTTTCTGGTTAATATTGCACTTGAATACGCCCACTACCGGCTTGTTCCCTTTAACTGTATTCATTGAGCAAAACGACTCCAAACGCTCCTTTCCATCTATAGGTCCCCCCCGTTAAGGCAGTTCAAGTGTGACATGTCAAATTGCATGTTAAAGTTAGCTGGTTTTATGCGTCCCCTCACTCTTTTACTTATGTTTCGGCAAATTAGTCAGCAGAGAGTTGTTGAGCTCAGTCTCCACAGAGGGGAACTAACCCTGGGCGCAGTGAGTGAACATTTGAGGCCTGTTCTGCAAAACCACCTGTGAAAACAAAGTGATAAAAAAAAAAAAAGACAGAGAGAGAGCGATAAAAATGAAAAGGCTTCAGGGCCCACTGCTGTTACAGTAATGTCACTCCAGCTGGCACATAATAGTTTGGAGCCAGAGTCGTGTTTATCTGTGTCAGACTACCATGGCTGTGCAAATACTCGCAGACTGCTGGGGAGGTGTGTATGATTGTCTTTGAAGTATGTTTTTCTTTTTTTGATCATATGATTGGGTCTGGTTCTTGTCACATGCCCCGAAGCATATTTAAATTCAAAATGTTGTCCTTTTTTTTGGTTTTTAAGGGAAAGGTGACCCTAGAGTTGATTACATTCTGTTTACTTGTTTTTCATCTGTCAAAAAGGGTTTGATGTATGATTTCAAGAGTCGCTGTTTTCTGAAATTATGAATAGAACTAAAGTTTTTTTTTTTTTTTTTTGAATCCCAGGGGTACTGTGTTTAAGGCTTGACTGTAATTTTCCCATTGTAAGGCATTTCAGTGGCTTGTGTCACAACAGGCTTCCCAGGACCTTCATGAGCCAGCTGGTGTTGAGCAACTCAGGGGAAAAAAACCCCTGATGCCTTGATAAGATGTACTATGTGCTGTGTGTCAGGCACAGAACAGGATGGCACATGTTAAAGCATTGCTCTTAATCGCTGTTGTAATGGGGCCTGTTTCTCTGTGGGAATAAACCCAACACTGAAAAGGTTGAAATGCTTAGCAGAATCTAAATAAAAGCAAAATGCTCTTCAAATCCCATGAACCCATATCTTATTTACCATAGAACATAGGAAACACATCAAATGTTTTTATTGATAAAATGTACTTTTTTTGGGGGGGGGGGTACTTTCTGATTTTGAGTCCTATGTTTTGCCAGGTTTACCAGGTATGTCTGATATAGAATTTTACTGGCCTGTTGCTATTTAACCTAATTAGCTGCAAAGTGTTCCTCTAGCTATTTTCTTTATAGCTCCAATTACTTGTCCAGCCGTTTGCTGCCTCAATTCTAACTTTTTTGAGACATGTTGATGCAATCAAATTCAAAATGAGCAAATTTCTTTTTTGTAAAATAGCAAAAATGTCTCACATTAAACATGTGGATTTTTTTTTCTGTTTTTTATTGTGAATAAAATATGGGTTTATGAGACCAGCAAACAATGCATCCTGCTTTTATTTACAGTTCCTCTCTCTCATCTGCATAGTGCTGCTGCACATTACCTGCCTTTTCTTTGAGCCATGCAAAGACCATAAACAAAGAGAGACAGAGACTCTATTGTTGTCAAGCAAAAGTAAGTGTTTTGCGGTGGCATTGGGAGGTATTATCATTCATCCAAACACCTCCTGTCAGTCTTGGGGTGGTAACGGATTGTCCCTGCAGGGATCTTGTTACTCAACACTAGTGGAGAAGTGTGCCGTGGATGAGGGCTTTTGCTGCACAGACTTGTTTTGTTTTCTTCTAGAAAACTCAA